ATATATATATATTGAGTTAATTGAGAGTGATGAGCACAAAGGCCAAGAACTCTACCTCTAAAGCTCCACCACCAGGGTTAAAGACTAGTCTGCCACTAAAATGAACAACTCTTCCCTGTTTACCAAGAGCTTTCCTAATATTAGTAATGAAATCCCTCAATTTGGGGAAAACTGGAATGGTTGGTAACTGTCACTTATTAACAGTACTACTTTGTAGCAATTTTTAAATATCTAAGTATTTCAGTACCCTTATCAGTAAAATGGGGACTGTTTAGCTTATGTCATGTAGTTGTTTTAGAATTAAATATAATCATATATACACAGTTTTTAGCATAGATAGCATACAATAAAAGTTCAATAAGTGAAGCTGTAGGTAAACAAAGCTTAAGAATTATTATTCCATTAAGAATTATTATTCCAAGTAAGGCACTGACCAGTTGCTTCCTTTTTCTGTCAAGTACTAAAGAGATAACTATGGACTTAAATTGTTAGATTTTTTAAAAGAATTTCTTGACTTCAAGAAGGCATAAATGAGACAGCTTTGGAAAGGACTTCCATAGGTTTTTACAGTAGAATGTTCAGATATCAATCTCGAATGTCTGTGTTGTAGCTTTGCCTGAACTCGATTCAAGTTACAGATTTCTATGTCAAGGACATTCTGGCTCAATAATATTGATCAAAAGCAGCTAACTTTATTAGAACATTGTTCTCATTATTCCCTTACCTTGCTGCCCTCTGCCTACGCTATTGCTACAAACTCTTCTTTCTGACTTTTAAAGCCTTGTATGAGCTGGTTCCTGACTCTTGACCTAGTCCTAGTTCTTGCACCTTGTACCAAACTCAACTACTGCTCTATCTAAATCTTTCTCAGGAGCCCCCTCACATACATCATTCCTATCCTGAAATTTCACTCCCGAATGACAGGAAATTTCATTCCTATCTTGTAATTTACCCTCTTTGTGAAATGTACTCTCCTATCTCATCCTCAAAATCTATGAGAGCCCACTCATTCTCTTATAGCCAATTCATATTTCATTTTTTCCACAGAGCCGTCAAGGTCTATTCTGGCCCAAAGACTCTGCCATCTTAGGCTCCTCATCCATAATGCATTTTACAGGTATATGACATGGTTAAGGACTAAAGTGCTTCTTTCTTTAAAAACAGCCCTTTACACAAATTTTATAGACACTTTAAAAAGCCTGAGGGCCGGGGATTTAGCTCAGTGGTTCAGTGGCCTGCCTTGCAAGCGCAAGTACCCAAATTCGATCCCCAGTACCAAAAAAAAAAAAAGCCCCCACATTTCTTTCCATATCTGCTTCCAAATGTTTCTATTTGCATTATCCTGCATATATCTGTTCTATCAGTAAGTGCTATCAGCGCTTCCTTCCAAATTAACCTTTCATTATTACTTTCCTAGCCTATCATCAACATCTCTTACCTAGAAACATGCAATAGCCTCCCAACTGACCTCTCTACTTTTTCTCCTGCCCTCTTCAACCATTATCCAGAACAGTATCCGGTTTGCTCTTTAATAAATATAATCCACAGCACACTGCATCTTTGTTTTAAATGTTCCACTCAGAGTCCGGGTAAAACCCAAATTCCTTGCAACATTTCATAAGGCCATACATTATATTATTCTTAGGAACCTCTATACCATATCACGTCAGCATTCCCCTAGCTCACCATATTCCAGTCATACCGGCTTGCTTTCTGGTGCCTGAACAAGACATACTATTTCAGTGTTTGCAATTGCTGGTCCCTTTGCTTAGAATGTTCTGTGCAAAGATCTTCATATGGCTCCTTCTTCTTTATTATTTATGTATCAGCTTAGATGATATTTTTAGAGAGGCCCTCTTTGAATACGTTTCTCTAATGTAATGTCTCCATCACTTTCTATACTATTTTCTGCACAATATGTATCACTACTGTCAGCAATTTGTATATTTTATGTGTTTGTTGAGAATATCCCCTGACAGCAAAGATCACGTCTTATTTGCCTCACTATTCTAGTCTTAACACACAGAATTGCACAATAATGAAGTGTTAACTGAATTAATGTGTGTGCAAAGGGATGATTGTGTACACTGTCCAAAAGCCAGTGTAAGGATCTGGTACAAAAAATTAAATCAGAAGATCACTTAAGGTAAGGTGATAGAAACAGGTAGGAGACAGTAGAAAAACTCATGTGATCTTGAGCTAGCCATATCATTTGAATTTTCTCATATGAACATTGTTTCCAAGCTACTTCTTTCTCAGTACTCTTATATTCTTGGGTTCTGAGTCTTCTCATGCCTTACTGATAAATATTTTGTTTTTTATTGTGGCTTTGCTTTTTCTCCTACCTCTTAAATGTTTTCTGAACTAAATTTTCTTTCCTATTACCCTATATACTTTTAGACTTGAACTCTGAAAATACCGAAGCCTCTCTTATAAATCAGGCTTCTCATTTAAGCTTTAGATTTCTACCTTCATGTATCTAATGTGAAACCTTCACATCCGGATTTCACCAGGGACTGCAAAGTTTATGTGCTGCCATATAGATACCTTTTATCTAAACCATTTTTACAGTCCTCTTTACTTCTTCATTTGTCTGACTAGCGACACCACACAAGTAAGACACTTTAGAACTCATTTCTTCTTACTTAACCACTCAGCAAAGTCCCGTCATTTTTTCCCTCAAACCTCCCTCTGCCCTTCTCTTCATCTCCACTGCCCCTATCTATTATTAGCAAGCTCTTATCACTCTTTCAAGAGCCTTGTGCTGTGCTTCCCTGGTTCTAGTTCCTTCTGATTCAGAGTCATTATCCATACTATTCTATATATAGTAAAGTTATACAAATAAAAAATTCACATGATATCTCTCATCATTTTATAAATAAAACAAAACTTCTGATGCTCTCCCATAACCTAGAAGAAAAGTTGTAGCTCTTTAACAAGGCTCTCTCTGCATCTCTTTCTAACTAGGTCCTTAGCCATTGCTTACCTCCCTGAAATCTTACATTTTGGTTCTCTTCATTAAGGAGGCTTTTAGCATTTTGAGTGAGATTATTATTATATTGGGACGGTTCTGTACATTGCAAAAAGGTTTCCCCCCAACATAGTTAAATATTTTTATTAGCATGCATAAATAGTACCTGTAATAGGGTTCTATGTGAAATTTCAATACATGCATTCAGGGTGCACTGCTGCCTCTTTTACCTACCCTCATCCCCTTTCCCAAACCTGTACCAATCACTGCTTTACGTTCTGCTTGACTTTTTAACTTCTATCCTCTAAATGCCAGTATCACTTCCTCCACACCTTCAGTTACTTTAATAACTAAAAGCACTTCAACATTTACAAGCACTTTTTAGCATACCTCAAGTTGAGACCCATTGAATCTTCTTCAGGCAGCTGTTGTTTCTAAGCCAATGCTTTTATGGCTTTTACTGCCAATAGAATGCCTCCCCCCTTTCTTTGGTAGCAATCAATTCATTCCTAAAAGTTCATTCCTAGCAGGAGGCCCTGGCATAGCTCAATACCAGAGTACCTTCCTAGCATGAGCTAGGCACTGAGTTTCATTCCCAGAACAAAAAAAGAAAAAGAAAAGCCAAAGGCTCAGTCTGAATGTCTGCTTTTTAGCAGAGCTTCATGTGCAAGTCAGAAAGAATTTGTTATAGTTCCCAATGAGTTGTCCTAGCTCTTGGGATATCATCATGGCCCCGTGGATAATTTTTGCAGTCCTATCTTCCTTTCACATTATCTGTGAGCTGCCTCATTCATCCTTTAATCCACAGCACATAAGACAACAAGTGGAAGGGAACAGAAGTTTTGGGTATTTCTGGAAAATGTAATAGGAAAAATAAAGAGATAATAAAAAGAAGCGAGAAAAAAAAGAAATAAAACAGAAGACTACAAAGAGAAAATTAAGAAAAGATATAAAACGAAGGAAAAGGAAACAGAAAATAAGAGAAAAGCAAATGAGAAATAAGTAAAGAAAAATAAAAGAGAGCAGAAGATAAATAAATAGAAGGAAATGGAGAGAAGGAATGCAAAAAGAAGGGACAGAAAAATCAAAGGAGAAAAGAAAAGAAAAAGAGGGGAAAGGAATGTGGCAGAGTAAGTAAGGAAAGCAATGAAAAGAAGTGAAAGATGAAATGAAAAAGAAAGATAAAGGGCAAGCTGAGAAATAAATCGATGGAAGAAAAAAATGAAAAAAAGAGAAGAGAGAAAGAGGGACATAAAGAGAAGAAAAGCAAAAAAGAAGGAAAGAAGAAAACAATAAGCAGTGGAAAGAAAGGGATAAAAATGGGGAAAAGAAAGGGAAAAATGAATAAAGAGCTGTACTGAAAAAAGAGAGGAAGGACACCCATAAGGAGTCTGAGCAGTAGTAAATATTCTCTTTCCTACTAAGAAATCTAACATGAATGTGGTAGAAAATAATGTATTAGAAGCTTTAACCTTTTTATCTTCCACTTTCTGTATTTATAGCTCTATTAAACACTTTCTGTATTAAAGCTCTATTAGAGTATTTTTATAGGAAGAGCTTACACATATTATGCAGGATGATATTTTGAAAAGCACTATGCCATTTTCTATTATCCTTAATGTAAAATTTAGAGCAAATGAAAAAGTATTAAAATCACCAACAGACCCATAAAACTCAAACTTTTAACATTTTTGTGGAATTTTTTTCTGGACATTTGGTTTTCTACTTTTTTAAACCTAATTATAAATATCCACTAAGGAACAAACTGAGTTTAAACAGTGACTATTTTTCTGAGACATGATCTTGCTACCCAAGCTAGTCTCAAACTTATGGACTCAAGCATCCTCCTACCTCAGCCCCATACATAGCTGGTACTGCAGGAAAACGTCATCATGCCTAGCTACAGTGATGTTTTTAAGCAATCTGCACAGCTGCCTCAGCACATATGTGTATTTACCATTGTCCATCAAGACCTGTCTCTAGAATTCCAAAGGCAAATTCTGGTCCTGGCTGCTCATTACATTTGGTAGTTTGGGTAGTAAAAAAAGTTCAGGAATCCTAATCAATTGTAACTTTTGAAGCTTTTCCTCTTGTAATCACATCAAAACTCTTTCCCTCCAGAATATCCACCCGAATGTTTTTATATATTTATTTTTTTAAGTGGGGTCTCATTGTGTTGCCCAGGTTGGCTCCAAACTTGTGGGCTCAAGGAATCCTCCTACGTCAGCCCCCTATGTAGCTGGGACTACAGATGCATGCCATCACACCTGCTGCAGTGTGGTACAAAAATGATTTCATTCACTTAAAGTAAGAGTGGGTCCCGGCAAGATACACAGACTCGCCTGTGGAGTCTGGCTGGTTTTGCAGGAGAGAGATTAAACCTGAAATTTGACTAAACAAGTGAGAGAGTACAGTCTTTCTTATTTAGAAATTTCCCACCTCTACCTTACCGAAAGCACTTCTCTTTCCTTTGAGGTCTGTTAAGTGATGCTTCTAATTTGCTAACAACCCTCCCTAACCAAGAAAATAACACAAGTAAATGGGAATCAATGTGGACCCAAGAAGGCTGGAGAGATCAGTTTTATATTAAGTGTCTGACACACTCAGGGTCAGGCTGCAATAATTAAACTGTACCAGAAAACTGTTTTCTTTAGGGACTGTTATTCCAAATGGGAATGGAAATTTACAGGACTAAAAGTTTAGTAAAAACTATATGTTGTCCTAATAGTTTTCTTTCAGACACTGTCGCCACCTACTGGTTCAAAAAAGAATACACTCTAAGGACTGAAGAAAAATATTGCTACATTACGAAATGACAGAAATAAATGGAATCTGGAGAAATATTCTAGTCAAATTTATTCATTAAGAAAAGGGGGAAAGGAGAAGGGAGAGATGGAGGTAGATAATGAAGGAAAGAAGGAGGGAAAAAGAAAGGGAGGAAGGAAAAATCAAACTTGCTAGTTAGCTACAGAGATGGGAAACAGCTACACAAAGCATATAGCATGTTAATGAAAGATCTTGGACTAGAGTTCCTAGGTTCTGCTTTTTCAGCTGATAGTATTCCAGAGCATCACAAAAAGAGACCAGAAGTAAGACAATCTGCAGAAATCCTCACAGAATTTCAGAATTGAAAGCATTTACATGTATATCTAAGTAGCCTTTGCAGGGATTGTATCTATAAAATCTCTGTGGTCTAAAGAATTCATGATGAGGCCCACCCTCTGCCATGAAAGAACTTCCCCATGAAATATCTCAATTTCAATCTGGTTGTTCCAGAAGAGTCTCCTCAGCCTTCTGCTACTCATTCTATTCTTCTTGCATCTGAGGAAACAGTCCAGATAACCAAAACATAGAAGACACATTGAAAAGACAGAAATGTCTTGAAATCCTCCCCTGCATGTTCAACATACCACTTCTTTTCTCTTCACTAGCCCTCCCTCCTTGGAACGCAATCCCCAATCCTCTACTCAACAAAGTCTTTGAGCCTAAGACCAGCTGCTAAGGTACTTACCAGGGTTGTCAGCCTGCATGGTGGCCATGACAAAGGTATGAGGAAAGAGCATGGCTGCACCTTTTCTCATGCCTTGAAGCTGCACAGTGTTGCCCTGGAACATGACCCCATGCACATCAGTCTCTGTGCCCAGGCCAAGCAGATGCCAGGCCACTGTATCACCCATGCACATGTCCAGCCTGGGCAGGTTAGAGAACAGAAACCCATTAATGGCTGGAAAACAAAAGCACAAGAAAAGATGCAAAGATGAGATGAGACTACTTGAGCTTTAACGGCAGCATGATGTCAGTTTCCCGCAACTTAAAACTGACAGATCATTCTCCACTGCTTCCCCTTGCTTTCCATCCATCCCCTTTTCCTTTTCCGTTAGTTCCCGCTCCTCCCTCCCACCCCCAATTTCCATGAGACTGTTTAACTTGCAAAATTCTGCAATGTAACATCACAGAATCAATGATCTATTTATGTATCTATCTTCTGCACTACATTGGCCTAATGGGAATCATATCATTTTTTCTGTATCTGTGATCTACGTGACTGCTCAAGCACTTGGCATGTTGCTTGTATCAATTAAGTGATAGGTAAATTGAAATTGGAACAAATTGAGCTCATGAAATTATCTTATTTTTTCTGATAATAGAACTAGCGATGGATAGGAGATGGCATCAAAAGATATCACACTCCTGGGGATTTAGCTCAGCAGTTAGGTGGCCTGCCTTGCAAACGCAAGGAGCCGAGTTCAATCCCCGGTACAAAAAAAAAAAAAAGAAAATACC